AGACAGAGGCACACAAGTATGTGCACAGGCGAGATGAGCACATCTTTTGCGTGTGGTCGTACGTGCGTACCTCCCGAAGCGCCGAAGATGACATGTTGACTCCTTGAGTGTTCGCCGGGCGGGAGGCCGCGAAGAGGGGCCGGAAACCGGTTGAGTCGAGCTGCACGTTGAGGCCGCGGCGGGACTTGCCTGTGGCGACCGCCAGACGGACACCACGGCGCCGCAGGGCATCAAGGAAGTTGCGAGACCCGTCGAAGGGCTTGACCTGACGAAAGACAATGCAATTGGGACCCATTGCATTGAGTCGATCGAGACATGAATGTATGAAGTGTGAGTCGATCGATGTACATACCTGTGTGTGTCTCGATTTCCCTCCAGTGTGTGCGGTATGTATGCGGCCTTGATCTCTTCGTGCGTCTCTTGGTCATCGTCCGGACAGAGCACCAGGGGCACGTCATCGATCGACAGGCCAATCGTTTGGCGAATCTCTCTCTCCAGACGCCTCTCGTCCATCGGCGGATCAGGGTCATGTCATCGTCACAATCGCCAGAACCATCAGCCGCCTGCCGTCTCCTCTTGTTGTCGCGAGCGGTCTTCTTGCCCTCCTTGACGGCCCTCACCCAGCACCGGATGATCGACGTCACCGAATCGACCACAGTGCCATCCCTGGTGGTGCACAGCACACGCAACAACCATTGCGGTGGCACGTGCATACACCGCTGCACACCTGCCCGGGTCACCCACTTACCAGTCGAAGCAGACGCACCGCAGGACGGGCTTGTCGGACACCGCCTCCCTCACATCGTGGCCGACACTGTCAGCCGCCTTGTCATGACACGGAGTGGGGTGCGGAGAGGGAGGGGCGCGGTCGGTCTGCACTGATGCCGCCGCTCGGAGGCCGAATGGTGCAGTGGCTGCGGAGGGAAGGTGGGGCGGCTGCTGGGTGTCTCGCTCGTAGTAGAGCTGGCCTTCCTGTGTGGGCTGCTGTGACCAACGGGTCTGCCGGATGGCCTCGCCCGTCAATCGCCGAGTGACCAACGGGTTTGCCGGATGGCCTCGCCCGTCAATCGCCGAGTGACCAACGGGTCTGCCGGATGGCCTCGCCCGTCGATCGCCGAGTGACCAACGGGTTTGCCGGATGGCCTCGCCCGTCGATCGCCGAGTGATTAAGGCCCACAGGCGGATTGCTGGCATGCGGCCCGGCATCTACAGCGCAGAGACGGCACTCCCGCGGCCTGACACAACCACTCTGACCTGCACACACACACGTGACAGCCATGAGAGCACAACAAGAGATGAGAGATGACCTCCGCCGTGTATGTGTGTGTGTGTAGGTCTCGTACCTTCCTCCTCCCAGGCAAGAAGCGGGGAGTCGTAGAGGGATGGATGAGTGAATGGGCGGCGGCTGACTGCAGCCGGCCTGCAGAAGGACAACAGGCAGACAGACAGACAGACGAGGAGCTCAGAGAGGTCGACCACATGTGTCTGTCACGTGTGCACATGTGTGAGTGTTCGCTTGTGTGTGTACCTGGATGAGCAAACATGGCGGGCGGGCCAGCAAACACAGCACACCACACACAGCGGCCTTCCCGCAGCCTGAAGCAGCCAACCGACCAAAGACATCCGTGCATTGCATGTGTGTGTGCGCCAAATGCATGTCCGTATGTACAGCCCTGCAGGCCCTGCGTACTTACCGGTCGGTGGAGTGCGTGCTTGGAGGGGGGGAGGGAAGAAGTGCCTATCATTATCTTTTTGGTATTGCCTTCTTGTGGGCCTCTCTTTCCCTCTCTCGGCCTTCTTTAGGGGGCCTTTGGCTTTGCTTTCCCTCTCTCTCCTCGTCCCTCTCCTCTCCTTGTCTGTCGGGCAGCCAGCCACCGAGTAAAAACTGACTAGATGACGTCAGAAATGACAGTAAAATGACTAAAGAATGCAATGACGCACACAGACAGGCCAGACGAACAAAATCGAGAGGGACAGGCAGGCGAAAACGAAACCCATCGGCCATGCGGACACGTGTGTGTGAGTGTGAGGGGCAGAGCCGTCATCAGCCAGGCCATGAAGGGGGAAAGGGACACACATGCACGCAGCCATCACACAAAGGTTTTCG